CGGGCAGGTGGAGGGAGAGATGAGAGCAGCTGAGTCCTAGCCCCCAGGCACAGGGATTCTGCCTGCTGCCTCTCACCCTGTCCTCAGTCCCCAGAGACTGGCCTGGGCCAGGTCTCCCCTGGCTCCACCCCTCCCAGCCCCATACCCCTACCCTTCCCCTACCCAGGGCTGGTCCGGTGTTTATTTTTAGGTCGCAGCTCACATGCTGCCTCCTGCCAGCCGTCCCTCTCTTCCTCGCTGCCTGTGTAGCAGGGCCCGGAGGGGGGCCTCCATGTGTTAGCAGGGGCAGGAACACGCCTGGAGAGGGGCCTCCATGTGTTAGCAGGAGCAGTGGCCTCGGCTCCAGGCTTTGCTGAGGGCCTGGTGAGCAGGCCGCTGCGGGGCTGGCTCTGAGCCCCTGGCAGGACGCCTGCCTCCTCATCCAGGCCACCTTCCAAGGTGCCCTTGCTTCCCCTAGACTGTTGCTTCGGGGGTGGGGTCTGCAGGCCAGAGGTAGGGTGAGAGGTGTGCCACGCCACCCAGGTGAGCGGGGAGATGGCCTCCCCTGGAGAGGCCTGCCCTGGATGGCCGTGTGCAGGGACCCTCGGTGGAGCAGGGCAGTGTTGCCTTGGGCCAGCCCTGCTCTGGGCCCAGATCCCAGCCCCTGCGAGCTGATCCTGGGGCTGGGGAGGCTCTTTCTTGTTCCCAGGACTCTCTCTGGCGCTCTGTCTGCCCTCCCACCTCTAAGGGCCTTGGTGCCATTGCACGGCTCTCTCTGACGTGGGGCATTTTCATTGTGTGCCCAGGCGGTGCTGGGCATGCGGTGGGATTCTTAGCTGAGACTCGGTGCTCTGTCCCTCAGGGCGTGGGCTCAGCCTGTCCAGCGCTCTCCACAGGCACCTGCGGGAGTGGACCCTGCCAGCCCCGCCCAGCACGTGGCCAGCACCCACCGCCTCGTTGCAGCTGGGGTTGGGAGGGGGTGGCACAGAGCATCACAGGCGAAGGGAGCCCACCACGGTGCCTCAGGCTGGGCCCTGCAGGGTCCCCTCCATAGCTGGGCCCTGGGCCGGGCCTCGGGCAGGAAGAGCTGCCGTCTCAGGGAGACGGTCTCCAGGCCCCGAGTAACAGCCTGTGTGCAGGCCGCACCCTCAGCGCACAGGGCCTGGCAGAGATGGGGCGTGTGGCGTGTGGGCAGCACGCAGGACAGAGCCCCTGACATGGCGTTTTCTGTGGAGGTGTGAGCAAAGGAGCCTGCTGACACCCCGACTCCAGGGAGGGCATCCCCCACAGCGTCTGCCAGCCCCCCCATCCCCCGCCCCCCGCACAGCCCTTGCTGGGGAAGGAAGGGCGAGGGAAGGAGGTGGGAGGGACCACACCCCAGGGGTGCCCTGTCTGATGCCCTTGCTGGCCTGCTGAGGCTCCACACCAGCCAGAGGGGCTGTCTGCTCCCTGGGGGCCCAGATGCCCCTCTTGTCCAGACCCCTGTGCCGTAGCCTCCCCTCCCCTCCCCTCCCC